ACCTCTTTTCTTCTTCTTTTTCCTTTCTTCTTTTCCTTTTCTTTTTTCTTTTTCCTTTCTTCTTTCCCTTCTGCCGGTCTCTGCATCTCCTTACTCTGTGTGTGTGTGTTTTGGTGTGAAATTGAGAAAAATGGGTCAAATGGTTGTATTAAATGGTCCACTAACCCATAATTGCAAACTAAGTCCTTCAACTCTCTTTTTCATATCACATTTAATCCTAACACTTCCAAAATTATATAAGTAAGTTTCCAACTTAAAAATATATCCAATTTAACCTTCAAAATATATTTATAATTTATAAGATAAACCCAAATAAAATGATTTGGTCAATCGAGTCCCAATAAAAATGATTTATTTCATACAAGTCCTCATTTGACTTGACTTTGAAAATTCCACTATTGACTTTGACTAGATAAAAATGTGGGTTGTAACAATCACTCTCATTTTCATTCAATGATTACACAAAGCTCGGAATGACTACAACAACAAACGCAAAATTACAATTCTTGGGCTCAAGCTAGGCCTGGGCTGAGGAGAACATTATCCATTGACAAAGTAATTTGAATAGACGTAAATTGTTTAGTAGTTAACAAGTAAACCCAAGGATGATCCAAGTTCGCTTCAGTGCGTAAGTAAATGTAGAAAGTGCAAACTATATTATGATAACTTGTTGGTCGTCTTTGCGTCTATACATGTTTTTGGCATGATTCTCTTCATAATGAAAATTAATTTAATTATGTATAACAATAAGAGGGACTTTTGACCTTCACCTATTCAGGGATCAGAAGAAGCACAGGGTAAAGCAAGAAAAACTAACATTTTATCACCCATAAAATTATACAAGGTTTTGTTATCTTTTTTGCTCTTTCAAATGCAAGGATATGATATAAATCCAGGTAGAATTTCGAAATCATTACATAATTCAGATATTTTATTGCTTGTAAATAGTGTAGTGACTCAAATTTCATACATATTTGGGGAACTTCTGTTGGTTTATGAATCATGCAGAAATCCTGAAGCACATGGGAAGAAAACTATGAAGAATTCATTAGAGTGATGTATAGTGTATACACACAATCCCAGATTTATTATTTCCAGGAAAGTATGAATTAGAGGAGGCAAGAAAAATTACCGAAAGAATGCTAGAAAAATCAATTAAAAGAATTAGGGATCATAATTTTGTACCATCCAAGGGATTTCTGAATGTGGTGAATCATGAATGACCTGTTTTTCCATTCCTTTATCAAAAAATTATGTAACGGTTATAATTGATTATATCAAACTGTAGTTTTACAATAGGTTAAGCACGAGTTGGACCTTCCATAGATTGCTCGACTGGATCATCTTGACCAAGGGAAGTGGATCAAAGAATATAAAGTCACCCCATTTTTGGATTGGGAAGGCCTCATATTACAAGTACATCAATGACATGTATGCTTGACTAAAGGTTGAACCCCAACTTTAAGGGTCCCCCACCGCCCCTGCCCTGAAGCATCGTGAGGGAGGTAAATCGCAGGTTATGCTTCCAAGAGTATAGGGTGGAAGGCTGCTTGTATAGTTGCACTTATCCAAGAGCCAAATCCATATTTCAGGATTCAAACCCTTGACGCGGCAGCCTCAATCAAAACTGGATTTCTCCACCCTCCTCTTTTACCACTTGGAGATGTGCCCTGGGGGCGACATGTATGCTTGACTAGCCTACATTCAACATGGTCAAAGAAAGAAAAGGACATTAAACTTTTTTATACAATTTACTATCCAATGTGTCCTGACAAGAACTCTTCAAACAATTGAACTTTTTAGATTATCACATCTTATTATCTTAACAACAATAATCCAATGCAGCTTGTAGTGGAAAATTATAAGTTCCGACAATTGATATTCAAAAATGAATTGGAGGAACTTAAAAGGTGTGTGCAAATATTGATCATTAAAATTTGTACACATTAAACATGGATAATATATAGTAACATTTCTCGACTCATGAAAACAGATGGACCATGAAATGATGACTTAGTGACATGGGATACGTGAGAGAAAAAAAATATAAATGTATACTTTGTTGTTGCATATCTTTCAATATACCCAAAGAATATTATTATTATTTTTTTAAAAATTATGATACATTGGAGCATATATTATGCATACCTTGTCTAAAAGCTATCGTAGATTTCATATTTATATTTCCAATGCTCTCTTTGTGTGCGAAATGATTTGTTTTTCCCAAAAATTTAATATTTTGAAATAATTAATTGTGACAATTTGAATGTTAAATTTTGCAGAATATTGAATACTTCACCTTTATTGCTAGTGGTAGATCTTCAGTAGCCAATGATTTGGTGTTATAGAGGCTTTTGATCAAATCAAGTTGGAAATTACATTGGAAGATTGCTTCATAATAAAATCTTGGAATAAGATTTGATAAAACTTCACAAGACTATATACTTTTAAATACTTTTTAATTAATTTTTCTAAAGAAAGTAATTTTTTTTTAATTTCTAAGCATGTTATAGATAAATTTATTTTTTTAAAATAAAGAAAAACTTAAGTAAAAAATTGCCTTTAAAAGTAAATATTAATTATGCTCATTTTACCGTGAAAATAAGCAACTTATTTATTATTAACTGTGTTTCTTTTGCTTCTATTGATCATTCTTCCCCAAAGTTAATGTAAGCCTTTTCCTCGTTTAGCTGAACCATTTTTTGGAAAAATGTTAGTATTATGTTAAGTTTAATGTTTTCTTCATCTGATTTAACTCTGCAAAATACATTGATACTTAAAATCGATGTTTATACTCAAAATTATGCTAATTCATTATCCATACAATCTATACAATTTTATTGTTTATGGGGTCCCTCCGTGTGAAGGGATGTAATGCTGTGCGTATAAACTCTACCCAATCCTAAGAGCCTTCTTGGAAATTTTAGGGTGCCGATTATAGCAATCTCAAAATTATCGATTATTGAACGTTTATAAGGGGTCCAATTTTGGGAGGTTTTTAGTAGTGAATTTTAAAAAGTCAAATCTTCAACAATTTTAAATCTACGTGCTTGGTTATATTTAAGGTAGGCATGGGTAAATAATATGGTGTAAAACGTGTATGTCACTCCTCGCAAATCAATATAACTTTACATAGTTTACCAAATAATTTTCTATTGAGTATGGACTAATATTTAGACTAATTATTGTTGCTTTGAACAAGCTCTAGCATATTATTCATTTTCTATTGGATTATAAGATGAAGAAAGAAATATAATACAAGTTATTAGTAGGTACATCTATGATTTTTCTCCTAAATACTTTTAAAAGATGACATCCAGCTGATTAACATAATACAAGTTAAAAGACAATTGTCTAGTATATATGAAATGGCTACTATTTTAGAGTTTAAAGATATAAAAAAAAGTTTGACGGGACAATTTCTTAGACTAATTCTATTATTGTAGAAAAATGTAAAGGGAGTTGCTACCTATAGCCAGGTTCGTTCCTAAGAGTGTCAAGACTCTAGACAATAAAATTTTTATGAGGCCCTTAAACATAGTTTATTTACAAGTATAAAAAACAATATATTTATATTTTAAACGAAATTTTTTTACAATTCAAAAGATATAGTATCAAAATAAAAATCTCTAGGATTTCAAGATACTTGGGAATGAGAAATAAAAAATTATTTTAAGGTATTACTTAGTCAAACATGCTTAATGCTGAAAAAAAAATACACAATATTTTTATTTATATGCATGCTAATACATAGATTTCTCTTGCTTGGATTAGAAGAGAGCTTATCCACCGTTGATTCCAATTTTTTTTGAATTTTCCTCACCTTTTTTTGACAAAAACAAATGGAAAACTATGAACTCTAATGAAATATACATCATCACCGATTTACAATTCAGTGTATCCTATTTTAGAGAGAAAATGGGTAAATAATAATAGCAAAAGATCTATAAATTTCTCCAGATGTTCAAAATTTAATGACACCAAAAATATATATCCAAAAAATGTCAAAGTTGACCAAAACACGAAACAAAGTAAAACAATAATCTAAACATGGCAAAATATGAAAAAAAGTAAAAAAATAATCTAAAGGTATCAAAATAATAAATTCAGTAGGAAGAATGAAGGTTTCTAAATTCATTTTTAGGTTAAATAATTCATTAAACTTCTCAAGAAAATTTGTGCTGTCATTTCAGATTTGTCCAATTTGATCTTTTTATGGATTTAGACTTTTGTGTGTACTAGTAGTAAGCACGTGCACTACACGTCTTATGTATCTATGAATGATAAAAATTAATCAATTGAAAGATAAGCCATTGGATTTTCATTTTTTTTTTAGTGATCGAATGTCCCAATTAATATATTAATTCAACCTTGAGCACATTTGTGACCTCATTAATACATTAATGCAACCTTTTAATTTTGTAGTCTCAATTAAATATAACCTAATGGATGGATTATAATGTAAATCATGAAGATTAATAAAGGGTTTGTTAATAAAAATAAAAATGGTAATTGGCTCAAAACGTCTTTACTTTTCAAGTTTATTGTGGAAAACGTCCATATCTTTTATTTTTTGGCATTTTCACTCTTACCTTTTACATTTCTTTGCGCTAAACTTCATTTTCACCAATTTTAATGTAAAATGACCAATATACCCTCCTATTTAAATAAAACAAAAAAAAAGAAAAATAAAGAATAAATTACAATCTTATTCCTAAATGTTTTAAAAAGTGCAAGTGAGCCCAAATAATTATTAAAAGGCCTAATAGCACAAAACGTCCCTACGTTTGGCCTATAGTGTGCAAAACATCCCTAAGTTTCAAATTGATAACAATGATATTTTCCGCAATGAAATGTGAAAATAGGGATGGAAATGAAAAAAAATTCAAACGTAGGAATGTTTTCTGCAAGAAGTGTCAAATGTAGGGATTTTTTTTTTTGCTATTAGGCCTTATTAAAATATTAAAAATAACAAAAACTCTCTCTCTCTCTCTCTCTCTCTCTCTCTCTCTCTCTCTTCCTTCTTCTTCAAATGAAACTGCCATGTTAGAAGTAAAAAAACTTCGACCAACCATCGCTCAAATTGTCGAACCTCCATTCAGCTAAACCATCTATTGATATTTTAAGACCATGAAGAGATGCGCTCTAGTAAGTATTAGTGTTGAAAATGGCATGGGTCTCTCCGGAACAGGTGATACCGCCAGTATTTGCATTCGCGAGTTGGGTATTTTGGCTTGCAATTTCAAATAAATCTATTGGCATGAAGGTTTCAAAGTTGGATGTTGGGTGGTATCGTAGAGAGAAGTGAGGGCTTTCCGGTGGTGTGGTGGTCCAGCAGCTTGAGTGGTGGTTTGCTGAAGTTTTTTGACGGCTGATACATTTGGAGAATAAGAGAAGAGAGTTTTATTTTTTATTTTTAATATTTTAATAAGGCTTAATAGTAAAAAACATCCCTACATTTTACACTTCTTGCATAAAAAATCCATACATTTCATTTTTTTTTTCATTTTCATCCTTATTTCCATGTTTTATTGCGAAAAAGTTCATTTTCATCAATTTAAAACATAGTGATATTTGCATACTATAGGTTAAATATAGGGACGTTTTGTGCTATTAAGCATTTTAATAATTATTTGGACTAATATGCACTTTTTAAAACATTTAAGAGTAAGATTGTAATTTATTCTTTATTTTTCTTTTCATTTTTTGTTTTATTTAAATAGGATGGTATATTAGTCATTTTACGTTAAAAAATAGTGAAAAGGACATTCGGTGCAAAGAAATGTGGAAGATAAGAGTGAAAATGCCAAAAAATAAAATGTATGGACGTTTTCCACAATAGACATGAAATGTATGGATGTTTTGTGGCAATTACCCAAATAAAAATTGCTTTGTTTATGAAAAATAAAAACTCAATGGATGAATTATAATGTAAGTCATGAAAATTAATAAGGGTTTTGTTGATAAAAAATAAGAAATTGCTCTATTGATGGAAAATAAAAAGTGTAAGAACAAAATAATCAATTGAATGATAACTCACTAAATTTTCATTGATTTTTTTTTTAATAATTGAATGTCGGTTTCAATTCTTATATTAATTCTAACCCAAATGATAAATAACAATTAAATATTTATTCACTTACATTAATTCTAAATCAAATGATAAATATTAATTAAATTGTAATAATGGCTTTGTTGATAAAATCTATCACATCAAATCACCATATTTGACTTTTTATCTCTTGTGTAGATCTCGTAACGACTATATTTTTTATTCTTATTCTTACAAAATTGAGTACCAAACAAGCCTTAATTTAAGTTTTTCTTGCTTTATTATTAATTTTTCACTATACTCCCTTATTTTTATCGCTCATGTTCATCCATCAATTTTGATGATCATTGTCTAAAATATAAAATATTAACATCTATATTTATCTATCAGTCTTTGTTCAATCAACAAACTCCCATCAATTCTCAACATTGAACACATTAACATTAGCATCAAAATATCCCAGCCCGTACATTGCACGGGCTAACACTAGTCTCTGTGTGTGTATCCTTTTTTTCAAGTCTATCACTTGTGCTACAGTAACAAGAATATCAAAGAGGCAGTTAGATTTTTTCTGTCGTTATTTCCAGTTTGGAGTTTCTATTTAATTATCAGAAAGAAGAAAACATAGCTTTCAATGCAGCTCTTACTTTATATAATCCCTCAAGAACATTACATTAAACAAGTTTATAAACAATCATTTTTCACAATACTAGTAAATCACCCAAGGCATAACAAATGTACATTAATCCATACCAACAATTTAAAGTGTGTGACCTTGATATGTAGATGATAAAAATAAAAAATAATACTTCATTGAACAAGGTCCGAACAAAGAATAACAAAGATTGTGCAGTATTCTATTTCCAGTTTAAATCTTGCCCGATATTGATGCCACAGAAGCATCTTGAATCAAATTACAAGTCGTGTTTCAGAAACTGGAAATATGTATGCAACTTCAAGACAGGTACGCGAATATCTTATGTATGGAAAATTTTCCCATGCACCCAATGGCCCACCAGAAAAGGTCATGTCTAAAAATAAAAGGAAAAATTGGTAAACAAACATCGAGAAGAGAAAACGCAAGATGTGATTGGCTTTTCCCTCTTTTGGTGCCAAGAAAAACTACCTTCGTAAGGAAGTATATTGACTAATATTGTAAGAATAAATAATTTACATGTATCAAAATGCTATTTACTTGTACACGTCACTGTACATACCAGATTTAACTCAGAAGAAAAAAGGGGTAAGGTGGATAGAAAAACGGTACGACTTTGTAAACTGTACCTCCAACAAAACCATGTTTGAGACATGTATCATAATACAAGTATTAGTCTAGTTGGACAAAAGGGGCTTAAACTTACAAGTATATGTCTGTCGGATGCATTTGTCAGGAAAAATTCTAACATACACAGTCCTGCCAAAGGGTATCCACTGATCAACAATTTCCTTTTTGTGCTAATTCAAAATTTCAGTTGGAGCATTATTAATGCAAATCCTACTTGAGCCGCCTTCTATATCCTGAAAACAGTATAGAGAAGAAAAACGTGATACATTAGATGATAACAATCAAGTTTGATTCAGGGTGGGAGTGAGGCTGTAAAGTGGTTATTCCTATGCCAACAATCATTTGAAGAAAGGATCTGCAGTTTCATAAACTAACGTAAACTGAGATTAACATAGCAGATATATAGAACAGAGTGGCAATATAGTACACAGTTGTGAAAAACTTGCTTGAGATCAACCAACTTATAGATTAGTTACGTGTTGGTCGCCAAATTCCAATTTGTTTCAATTTGATTACACTATTTCAGCTTGACCATTCCGTTTGTACCTGTTATAAAAACTAAGGGACAATCCCACGAGGTGGCAGAATGCGTGACTTAGCATTTGTTTGAGGCTAAAACAAAAGTTAATATAGCAAAGAAAATGAACAGGATCAAAAAACTTAATCCAGTTGTCCAAGCTTTCCTCAGCAAAAAAATTGAAAATTTAACATCAAACAACCACCAGGTTATGAATCTATTGTTTAAATGATTCTAGCTATTAATTTTAGCCTGCCACGGTTAACTAAAACAAAAATGTAACTTAGACTATCAAATTGAAACTAATTGTAAGCTGGGTCACCAAAATGAAACAACATTTAGATTGAGTGACTTCCAGTGAAATTTTCCCTACATAGTCCTGCTTTGGTTTTTTTTTTTTTTTTTTTGATAGGTTACATAGACCTACTTCGTAAGGACTGACCATCACAATACGACCTCAAAATAAAACCCTAACTAAGATCTCATATGCATTTTTAAAAAATGGTTCAAACAGATTATAGTAAATAGAGCACAGGACAAGATAAATACTCTCTTAACACCAAAAGATAACCAGTAAGTCCACAGACTTGGTAACTCCTTTAAATCTGTGAGGCATAGTTACGTAAATGGGACACAACACAGAAAAGCCTGCATGAATCTGATCTTTCCAATAAAGGACATAGACACGTTAGGGCACACCATGTCTATTGAAATTATACATTTACATGTCATTTTTATTTTTATTTTTATGCTTATTCGTTTTTCTATAAATTGATATTCTTTTCAGCTTTGATATTTTGCAAATAAAATCTTTTGTCTGTGAGTGTTTATTTCTTGTACTTTGTACTACTGGAAAGGAAATAAAATATTCTGTTATCAAAATTTGCATATTTTACTTATAAACGTACATCACATTATGTCATTTTTCTAATACAAAGAGTGTTAATAATTAAAATTATCCCTAAGATTATTTTCCAAAAATAAAAATAAAAAATTGTGTGCCGAACGCTTGTCCAAAGCATGTCAGAAGTGTCCCTCAAGTGTCCAAAGTTCGAAAATATGTAAAAAAACATAGCACACCACATGACGTGATGGAGCGTGTCAAATGTGTCCCTTGCATGTCAAAATTTTAAAAAATATGTAAAAAAGATAGAACACAATAATTGGCGTGCACTGGATGGTTAGGCACGTCCCAGATTGTCCAAGAAGCGTTGAAGTCTAATACATGTCAGACAGACACACCACCTAAGGAGGATTGTCCGCGCTTCATGGATTTTAATTATGAAAACAATATGACTTCAAAACATGTCCATGACTCACGAGGAGGCAAAGTAGAAAAACTCACCAAAGACAGTTGGCTTTAAACTCATTCTATACTGGCCTCCAGTTAACAGTGGACTTTTCTGGTCTCCAAGGTATCATCTGAGGAGCCGTAAGACCTGTTGAAAAATACAACATAAAGTTATTTCTTGTATAAACTGCAGCTCTAATAGCAAAGAAATCCACAGGTTAATAAGCAGATCATGTTCACCAAAACATACCTGAGATAGGAGAGGCAATTGGTGCCCGGGGAGGGGGAGGGGCAGCGGCAGCGGCAGAGGGGTGAAAACCAACTGTACTTCTAGGAGGCCTTTCCAAAGGGAATCCAGAAATTCCTGCTACAGGAAAGTTCATTAGAACTGTGCATGGGAGTGCAGTCACCGAAATCTAGTAACTACTAGCATCAAAATGCCCAAAAAACAACGTCGATCTAAGATCCAGTTATACAAAAAAATAAAATGATAATAATAATAATAATAATTAAAAAAAATTCCGAGTCTCCAAAAACCAAGACATTTACTTCTTGTACTCTCTTAAACAACTATTATGACATCATTTTAGTACTCTTTTTAAAGTAGTGCATCATTTCATTCCTTCCTTAGTAAATTTATAGTGGGAAAAAATAAAAAATAAAAATCCTCCAGGACACACTTACAACCCCCATTTTATGCCTATAAAGCTTCAAATCCAAACAATCAATCCAGAACCGGCCTCCTGAGATAATGCTCTGTATCACAAGAGAAATTGATATGCATATATTTATTATCTGTAACTAAGAAAGTCAGTAGCAGGTCTCTTATCTGTGTATTTGTATTTCAAATTAGGACAGTCGTCTTCTAGTAAGTGATACTGATATCAACACTAGAAGAGCAGAAGTTCAAATAAGTTCACAACTATTTCAAAAGGCCAAATGATACATCAAAAGTTAGCAAAAACATTTGAATTTATAGATAACCATCCATCCTTGCATCTTTGTGTGTACCCGTTCCATGAACACGCGAAGAAGTAGCAAAAATTTCATATACGACGACAATTTTCCATTCTCAATTATTATGAACCTTTATTTCTTTAAAAATTAAAATATTTTCCAGCAACATCAACCATATTCGAGACTAGAAGGAAACAGCTTTATTGGTTCATGATCATTTGTATCCAAATTTACTTTCTCAGTGCAGGCATAGAGCAGATTAATCATGATAAAAAAAAATAAAAATTGGACAACCGAAATACCAAAGGGAACTGCCATCTTTTTGCATGAAAAAAATATAAAACTCCATACGAGGAATGAATTCTATGAGAAAAAGAAGAATGAATCCATACACTATGTACTTAATGCACAACTAGGTAAAGATTCTTTTAGCACATCCTGAAGACAGTCAAATCATGGCTAATGATTTTTCCGCGTTACACAGCAAGCTTGGATCGCCGTCACAATACCTTAAAAGTTGGAAGGGAGGAAGAAACAATATACAAGGCTATATGCTTCAAAGAATTTCTATACCTAGAGGAGCTAGAGAGTATTAGAGTACTGATTTTGGATTCCCCGAAGGAAAAGGATAAAGCAGCAAGTCTCTTGAACAAGAATATATTCTGGTACATCTTCAATAATTTGATATGAACATCTTATTCAGACTGTGAGAGTTAAAAATCCCAAATGCATGTAGCCAAATTCTATCTAATAGAATTATTATTTACAGTTTTTCATTTCGTCATCATTACTCATATGTTTGGATTTTTTATTTATAGATACTTCAGTTAGTGAAGTCCCTCGTGCATAAAATTGCAACTTCCCTTTGTAAGAAATTTTATTTTTTCTCTAAGTGGTTTAAGGTAATTACAGGGAATAGTTTCTGAAATACGATTGACCTCACAATAAAAAGAACAATAAGATGCAGAACATTTCACATTGCCGAAGTCATCCTTGGTAAGGTGGAAGGAACCCATAAATTTACGCTAATTCACCTGAGGAATACTATGTAAATGAACCATCTTAAAGGGAAACCTAACAGCAGTAATAGCTGATTCTGTTTGATGTTGTGTGTGGAGGATGAGATTAGGCATTTCAGATCATAATTGGTCAAACATTTTGACCAATACCAGTGGGGACAAGAATTGAACCTGGATTAAGTCAATATTATAAATTTGCGAACTGAAAGTAACCACCATACTTAGGTGTTGCATTATGTTGAGGAGTTACTTTCAATAAATGAATTCAAAATATACATACAACAGAAGAAAAAAGCTCTCTTCATATATGCATGCAGCTAATGAAATGTTGACCATATTATATAGTAGAAGTCTCAGTAAAAGCCATTTCAACATAAAAGAGTCGTTATGAAAGATATAATAACAGAGAATTCTAATCATAGTGATTTGATTCTATATGATTGACTACTCGCCACTCTAACTGTGATAATAAAAGGAAATATACACACCTTCATTTGGAAAGGGTGAAGCTGAGCAAGATCTCCCCCCTGCCATCCAAACACTGCACAGATCATCAGAATTAAACTGATTTGATTGCACCCGCCACTGTTCATCAGCAGCATATTGCCTCGGCCCATCGGAAAAGTTTTGCAATGAGTAATGGGGATACGGGTGTTGCTGGACTGCAGTTTTTGGATATGAGATAAAATTGGGTGGGTGATTCAGATGCGGAGGACTTTGAGCAAATGATGGAATACCAGGATGAAACAGCTGTTGTCGAGAATTCATGTCCATATAAGAGCCAATGCGTCCATATTCTATGGTCCTTGACAAATTATATTCAGAGTGTTCTCGTGCATTGCCAACTCCAGCTGGAGCAAAGCAGAGTGATTGCTGCAAAAATACCTCATTTTTGACAGAAGTATCAATATGAGGCCCATGAGGAGTATTTGTAGTCATTTGAGCAAGTTGACCTCCCTGTAAAAAGAAGAGTTAATATGTAATCGTGCTCTAATAACAGAACAGGAAGTGGAACAGCCAGAAGCCTTACAATGGGTGTGCTAGCAATTTCATTTGGTAAAGGAGGTTGTGGATATGCTGCCGTGAGCGAGGAAGATATTGATGATGAAAGCCGCGCCATGTTTTGGGACATCAACGAAGGCTGTGGATGCGACGACGGTGCTGGAAGTAATGAGGAAGGACCAATGTGTGGTGGAGGAAATAGAGATCTTTGCGAAGAAGGAAGTGGTTGTGGCGGTGGGGATGGAGATGGTGAAGGTGGCAGCGGAGGTGGCAATGGAAGTGGTGAAGTGGGTAAAGGTGGAGTTGCAGGGGGAGAATCAAAAGGCAATGGTGGCGAACCCTCAGGTAGAGGCAACAACTCACAAGAATTGTTTGAAGCTGACACCGGAATCATATCTGCATCTGGCTGAATTTTAGCAGTCTCGAAAGCGCCATCATTGGACAGTGGTCTTTCGTCTTTTTGGTTTTCAGACACATCTTCCATTTCAAGCTCACCATCCACATCTTCTAAAATGCAGTGACGCTTGTCACTTGGAGTAACTGCACAATTTTCAGGATCTCCATTGACAGGCATACCTTCTGATGGTGATGCATCTGCAACTTCCTTGCACAAATTAGCCTGGATATGGTCTTCCTCTTCCTCTTCCTCTTCCTCTTCTTCAAATGCATGAGATGACAAAAGCCCATGCAATTTAAATGTCGTGTTGCTGAAAAAACAAAAGTTAGAAAGCCGAATGTGAACACAGAAACTAATATATCAATTTATAAAATCAGGCAAAGACAGATAATACTGCATGTGCCTACCCACGTACCCCTCACAAAGAACAGACATACCACCCCCACAAGAGAGCACACATGTCCAAACAACACTATATATATAAATACATTTGGTTGATTACAAGACAGTACAGATCACACAAATAAATAAATACATAATAAAAGTCATGAACAAGATGATAGGACAGGGATAATAGCACAATGGTTTGCTAAAGACACGTCATATAATCAGGTTATCAAGAAAATATCCTTCGAAAGATAGAAGCACAAGATATTGTGTCCACTGTGCCAATACCAATACCATAATATAAAAATCAGAGCAAAATGAGTAATTGCCAATACAAATAGGAACGACGGCACATAAGTATGGCAGAAACCCGTGGTTATTCAATTCAGATCCCTTGTAATCTGGCTTGCTAGGGGAAATTAACACCAAGTCAAGAGGACTGTAGATTAATAACTTATTCATGTGCAAACAAAAAAGTCTGTTGACAGATAAAACAACTACCATGATTCAGCCAAAATATGGCAGGCAATATAATTAAATATGTGAAACAGGCTCAAGACTTCTTTTTGTGCGTGTTTGTGCAATTTGTAAAACTGAGCTTGTAACAGAAAGCAGTATCGTAACATAGATGATCAAACCCACTAAAGCATGCTAGCAAGCTAGAATTCCACCAGCTATAATAAGGTTATTTAGCTGGCGACTTAGGAATGTTACAAGGTAGAACAATGATGTGCCAACACCACCTTTTTTCCTAGAAGGAATTGTGTAGAGAAAGAGTGAAGAAGGAGCAAATTTCAGTACCTCCCATACTCATCCACAAGCATTCCTTCCATTTCTCTAATAGGATCGTCTATAGCCCGCTCAGCTCGGGAAGGGTGCCTAAAGGAAAACCCAGCAGAAGCATCATCATTCACTGCACCAATATCATTCATACAGCGACGAAGAACAGATTCAGGCAAGATTTTCCTCTCAAGCCATAATCGCAAGACCTAAGGAAAGATTGTAACTCAATCATTCTGCACACAGCTGAAAGGCTCACTTTCAGATATGAACTTTAGTCACCTTAAGACATTGACGACGATTCTCATGAGCACTTGCCCCGGGCGGAGCAGCAGCTCCTATGAGACGGGATAATGCTGCTTGAACTGCAGGAATATACGAGGCTCCTGCGATTCCTGAAGGACCATAACAAGCAAGAAAAGAATTATAAACAAATATCCACCCAAAGAAGTAAGTGAGGTCTGGCAAAAGAAAGAAAGAAAAGGAACTCAAACACTATGACATCACGTACATTAACCGTTCATTGAAACCGTTGGTGAATGTACTTTCAAGAACAAGCAAGGAAAGAATTATGAACAATCTCCACCCAAAAAGGGAAGTATGGGTGGTCTGGAAAAAGGAAAGGGGGGGGGGACTTAGACAATAGGATAAAAAGCATGTCTGGATAGGCTTATAAGTAACCTATAAGCCCTAACTTATATAAGCCCACCCAAACATGCACAACATCAGGTACAAAAACATCCATAAAACAATTGCTGAATATAATTTCAAGAGTACACAACAACAAAGTAATAGGAGAAGGGAAGTGAGAATTTCTATACTTAAATGTACTCTTTAATATTTCTCTACCTTTTTGACCATGAGAGCATTGGGTTATCGAATCAACAAGGAAAAACAGGTCCACTCGGTGATGAAAGCTGGGTTCGTTTTCCAGCTTCCGAGTAAGAAGTTCCACAACCTGCATGAAACAATGCACTAAAATATAGTTGAATTGTCACAAGAAATTGCTTACATACAGAAAACATACAAAAAAGAGAATAGGTGCAACCAAAGGTTAAAAAATAGATTGCTCATTTCATGTCTACTGTTGGTTAAAAAAAAAAAATTTTGAAGCAGAACGATTACTTCAGACTACATCTTCCCTCTCCCAACTTCCTTCTTTCCTCCCCACCTTACCCCATTGTTAGAGAGTGGAATGTGGAGGAGTTTATTTCAACATAAGATCAAAGTACCATGAACCAAAGAAGTGCGTCAGGATGCATTGAGCCATGAGAATGAAAGGCAATGCACCACAACTCTCTCGGCCACAAAATTCAACCGACTATGACCTCTATAAACTAACAGCTAACTTACTCGCATTCTCATCATACAAAAACTATCTGGCAAAGATGACAATCTTTTCATTAGACGCATCAATTTTTCTTAATAATTTATTTATTTTTTATTTTTTTTGTTAAGAAACAGATTTCAGTAGTCATGTCATGAAGATAACGTTTATCCACAGAACACGAAACCTCTTAAAACAGAAACAATTTCACAAACAAAGTCAAGATTACACCACATTCTTCAATCCAAGAAAATCCTCAACTTTTTGAACAATTTCAGTCCAAAAAATTTATTATTTCTTACTGAGAATCAAAACTAATAATACATTTGTCTGTTAACATTTGTTTATGTTGATCCCAAGATATCATCACTATTTCAGATGACAATAAACACCGCACTTGCTTAATAATCATGTACTTTTGTGTTGCACTGATAGAATTGACCGAGCACAAAACTCATTAAAAATTGGGAGCTGGTTAAATCCAGAAAGTAGAATCAAACAGAAAAAATGTTGAAAGCTTTGAATTTCACAATTAGAAGAAAAAAATGATCTTGAAAAATTAAAAATATTTGCAAACAATTTTGGATAATGTATAATGGCTGGTTAAACAGTTACGTCCACCATACACAACCTGATGTAGATCAAATGGTTTTGAAACAGACATGCAATTTCGTATGTAACAGAGGATGGGACAGAAAAATGGATAACTCGCGGTAAGTAACCTTTTTAAAACAACTTACTCCAACTATGATTTAACTGTTGAATCTGATTTCCATGATATTTTGGGAGATTCACAAGTCACTACTCAAAAGAAACAGATTTGGCTGCAAAATCTCAGTCAATATCTCCTACACAAGATTTAGCAAAATTTTATATAGCCCCCGTTTGTTTCTCATTCTTTCCCCATTAACATGAAAAATATGACCAATATCTATCACATCAAGTCACCATATTTGAATTTCTATCTCTTGTGTGGAATCCGTAACGACTATATTTTTCATTCTCATTCTTACATAAATAGAAAACAAATGGGGCCATAGAATTTTCTTCATACAATCAAAAGTACAAAAAAGAAAAGTACAAGTGAATACAGAAAAGAGACATAAGAATAATTGGGGAGAATTAAAAGCTCTCTGGACCAACACCTACATAGCATCCCCAGTTCAAAGGGAACCTATCCTCGTAATGTCCCTATACTTGTTACAAGGAAAAGCTGAACTTTTGATAAATTAAACTAAACTCGTACATTAATCAGATGGATGGAAGAGGGGGCGGATGGAGAAATCCTAAGGTGCGGATGGTTTAAGCCAGGAGAGTCCGCATCTTATCTTGTAAGCACACCACTCTTTCAAGAGGATTCGCGAACAAGAAAGTATTTGAGGCACCTACATATACTTAGTTGCAAGTTGCAAACCCTCGTTCCAGATAGTGCATAGGGATCATTTCACATTCCAAGTAATAATAATATTGATTATCATAACAGCAATCATAATAATTGTTTTGTCCTAGGGAGGGGGTGGGGGTTGAGTATGTGTGGACTAATTCAATTGGGACGAATAAAAAAGGAAGATTCACATGCTGATAACTCACCTCATTGGCAATCCCATACTTTGCACAGTCAATTGCAAGACGAGTTGCTCGCCCAATGCTCTCCTTGGTCCTTGACAGTGTCTCTATCATTCCTTCAAAAGAGTCACGAGCAATAGCTGCCTCAGTACCCCCACTTAGGGAACCCCCAACAGCCCGATGACCTGAACTAACTCTCCGCTCCTCAAATTCTTCGTTGTTATGTCGATTATTTGTTGAAAATTGACGAAAATCAGAGGTAGGAGAAGTTAAAGAAGAGCAAGAATGTAATCCTTCTATACCCAGTTGGGACATGTTGCTGGCTTTCATTCCCTGTGAAGTGGGGCTGGGGCTTGGACTCGTTCCTGGTGTCTCAACATCAGAAGTCACAAGAGGAGTCCCATGAGAATTCTGCTTATGAGTTTGTCTCCTCTTTGCCTGAGCAGCAGCAATAAGATGTTTCATAGACATATCTGGGTCCAGAATTTTTAGATCAATAGAGGAACTCATCTTGGCATTTTTGCCAATAACCACCCTGAAAAATGGCAGAATGAAATGTGAGCATCAAAAATAAAGAAATAATTACTGCAATTATGATGAAAGGAGTTACCAAGATACCTTTCACCAAGGAAAGTGATACTTTCAGCTGGATTTCCCACTAGAATATCAGAATCATTGACTTCTAAATCTGTTTTTGGTGTTGTTTTCATTCTCCCCCCCAAATAAGCTGACTTGCTTCTTTCATTTGTTGTTTGATTAAGAGATGACTTTGAGCCATCAGAAATTGAAGTGACGCCAATATTGGATCCGGATGGAGCTTTTTTATGAGTTATATGAACAGGTGTCTTGCCAGAGTGTATGCTTTGCAGTTCCCCTGAAGGTTTGCTACTAGCGATAGACCATGGGGACCTCATAGGTGAAAAGACAACTGGTTTAGTCTCTCTGGAGGACATATTCGTAAAGTCTACTTGAGCAGGGCTAGAACGTACATGTGTATCATCTATTTCTCTAGCTCTCTTCTCGATGCCTTTCTGAGCAGTTGGTGATGAAGCTTTGTGGGGTATGGCAGATGATACCAGTCCCTTAGAACCATCCTCAACTGTGCCTGAACCATTCCACTCTTGTTGATCATGGAGAGAACTCTCACAGGGCACATCAATTGTTTTTGTAGAATCCAACAAGCATGGAAGAAGAGAAACCTTAGTTGCACATCCTCCATGAATTGGGGTTTTGGGCTCTTCATCACAATCATCATCACAAAGGCGAACAGCTCTCCGCTTTACTGGAAACTGTAGAGCTGAGGATCTGACTTTATCAGAAAGGCTTTTTTTAAGAGCAGAGGAATTTCCCAATCTATTTTCAGAGTGTAAAGAAGAATTAGACATGGCCTCCAATGCCCCGCAACAGTGCTTTATTGGGGGTAGATCATCTTCATTGCCACAAGAATTGGAATCTTTCATGCTTGACTGAAATCTGAAAGGCTTGCAATTTTCCGTGTTCCCTCCTGAAGTTAACCGTTTAGGCTCTGTAATACTTATGATGTCATCAAGAACATTAGTACTTTGAGAATCACTTGTTCTGTTTGTTTGGGTTTTCCCCTTGGTAGCATCACCTGCAATATCTGAAAATTTTGACCTTTTAGTAGGACATGGAACTTCATTACTTGGAAAACTTAAACTTTGTTTTCCGGGCCTACCAGTAATTTTTTCTCGGGAAACATCAACTTTATTCCGCTCATAATTGACTTCTGTGTCCTTCGGACAATCATCTGCTGAACCAAAATGTTCTTTCTCTTTTAGTAATTTTTTTTCTTTCCTTCTACCAACATCTAAACTTGACCTTGAAATATCAGCAGATGTATCATTTGTGTTGCCACCAGAAGTAATTTTTCTTTCCGTCCCATCTCCAGATTGCTCACAAGAAATATTAATGTGATGACCAGAGTTATCACATGCAGATGCGGCTGAAACAGCTCGCACACTATTTCTGTGCATTATATTCGTACCATCAGGTTTCCTCTTTGACCCAATTGCCAGCTTTAATTTGTGGCCATTTGTCAATTCACTCTGATCCCCATCAGAATGCCTCTGCTCCATTTTGTTATCACGAGAACCTTCCTTCTTAAGAAAGGAATGCCTTAACGGATAGGTAGCAGACACTGACTCCTTTGACAAATCAGTACCATAAGTCGAGAGTTTATTCCCCTTTTTTGAATACCTATACAAAGATGAGGGATTTACATCATTCGAGACTGAAAACTTCGTATCTTGACAGTCTGTCTTGCTAAGTCTATGCGATGAATGCTCTAACCCAGAGCCTTGATCACCAAGTCCTTCAATCTCTATCTTCCAATTAGGTAGATCCCTGTCAGTCTCATCTTTTATATTAACCTCTGATGCCACTTGCTCAACTGAAGGTGCTTCACACCCAAGATCCTGTTTATCAATATCATCTCCTAAGCTACTTGAACTTTTGCTCTGTATCGCTTCAAACTCTTCGCAGATTTGCTTCACTGCTTTGGCAAAGTGCCTAACTGTCTTAGTTTGGCCACGAGCACACAATCTATCTTTTACCTCATTGGTGAACGCCTGAATATCAGCAGGAGCGACAAAACCTCTGTTGAAAAGGAAAGAAAATTGAAAATATTTCTTATATTCAAAGCATACAATTATTTTAAAGAATATAAGAAGTCAACAAACATTAAAAGGGTGATAGCACAATCAATCAAGGGAAGAACTTTATCTTGCATTTTTTAATAAAACCAGGAACATTTTTAAAGGTCTAAATTAATTTCCAACTTAGAAAAACAATTATGCATCAGCCTACAAAACAAAGGGCAATCATCTGTAGTACATAGAATTATCCACCAAGCACAGATCATCTAAAGATCACCTGCTGATATTAGTTATTGCTGAGTACGGTGAAACTGAAGACTGAAGAGTAATACTATAAGCATTATACACTTACATATGTAAATCATAAATATTGCGCATGTGCTTCATATTCAAGTAATTGGAAGGAAATACCAAGTAGGTACACCCATTTAAGAGGATAATACAAGAACGGGATCAATAAATTCAAGGAATACACAGAAAAGGGAATATATCGCAGATGTATCCAAAGGATCAGTACAAAGCACAAAATGACAAAATAAAATTCCCATTGCACCACATAGTTGAATACAACAATGCTACAAAGGCTAATTGCAGTGTGATAAAGACCCATGCAAAATATAAGAAACTCATTCTTCTATTCAAATTTGTAACCACCACCAGACGAGAAATTGAACAGAAGTTTTCACAAATGAGACATTTGAAAGATTCCCATTTATGTACATTTATGTAGTCACTAATAGATGCTACTTTCACACGTGCATGTATGATGTGTATAAGATACCCCAAAGAAAAGAAAATATTGCTTCAAAAGACAATTTCTTTTTCAAATAGCGCAAGAGAAATTTATCAACAGAAATATAGAAGAGGATAGGATGTTCTCACAGACCAAAAACAATAGAAGCATCTAAAAATTATTCAACAAAAGTGTAATTCAGCTAATGAACATTCTATACAAAACTTCAACCAAAGAGAAGAAAAACGGAAAAAGAGATTCACCCAGTCCTAAACCCCCAGAGAATCTCTAATAAAGTCTTGCTCGCCATTGATTATAATAGACAAAACAAGATAACATTGTCCAAGACATTAAATCGGCCAGTTTGTCAAGTACTTACTATGGAATTCTTTATATGCTGTTACTAGAGAACGATAGGGCATCTATAGAAATGTAAGTTTGACCTTCTGATAGCACTTGTCAAGGCCATTTATTAGCAGTCAATTGTCTCCAAACATACATACTGATTTTTCCTTCATTTTGATGCACAATATAAAAGGATCAAGGAAAAACTAATACAAAGGAGGAATTCAAAGATTCTAGGTATTGCAAGAACCTTGACAATAGTTTTCAGACTTACTTCATCATTAATTATCTATATTTTGGGATATGTGTGTGTGTGTGTTTTAACATGTATATTTATAATCTCCAAAACACTGTATTTTTAGAATCTCTACAATGTGCTGTTTATGTCAAGTAAATCGTGCTAGGTTGGAAGACAATTCATGCAGTTTCCACCACAGAATCGAAGTAATTATTAGGAATTCGTGGATCTGGATTAAATTACAAGGCTTCCAATTTATGAAGGTGGAAAATTTTTGTTTTGTATTGTTCAGCAGAAATTGCTGATGTTCCTTCCGATTTTGGGATATCGGATACCATTAAATGCTAGGTGTCATGACTATGGGTTGTTCTCATTTTTTGCCTTGTAGTGGCTTGATCCTTAGCCCAGATATCATTTTCTGAAGAACCTACCCTAGACCACATTAATATCTCATGGACTCCATATAAAGTGTTTTAGGGCACTCTGTAACACCCAAAGGAAACCACTTTATTTCCTGTGTTTTGTTTCTTTTCTTGTAATCTGTCATTCTGTCCTTCACCTTCAATAGAATCATATCAGCAATAACCCCAAAAACACCTAGCCTTTGTCACACAGAATCATATACATCGAACCTAGCGCTGCATATATTAAAGTTTTCCTCACTTCCATCACCAAAGCACATTTTCCAGATATACGAATTGACCCCTGACTATCAAAAGTGGAATGAAAGTTCAACAATGCAATAATCCAACATAAATAGCTCAAAAAGGAAAATATTAATTTATCATGCCAAAACTGAAAGCAATCAGTGTCGTCATTGACAGTATTATACTTTTCCCTATTTCTCTTGCGTTCCACTAACCACACCAGTCACACTATCGTTTCAACCTAATCACTTCGACAATAGTAGCCTCAAATAACTGTATATTCATAACTACTGCTGTTGTCATCATCAAGAACAACACGAATTAATAGGAGGAGAACCTCACAAAACTTCTATGGTATAGATTGTGAAAGTAAATGCTGGGCGACAATCTACAGCAACATTTTTACCCACCACTTCTTAAAGGAAATCCCTCAGCAGCCAAATGACTTTACAGCTACATCATCGTAGATATCCAGAGATAAAACAGCAACACACTTAATTCTGCATAAATTGGAACTTGGATGTCACAAATTTCATCCAAAAAAGTTGTATCAGGACTCCCCAAAAGAAAGGGAACTAAACCCCAGAGCCGATGGGAAATTCACTTAATTTTTTTTTATTAAAAAACATGCATATTAATCATAACATAAAGACACATCACGAGAACAATGAGTTCTCTTAAAAACATAAGAAATCAATTTTAAAAAAATAATAATAATAATTAATATATGTCACATATTTCCAACCAAGGATAACTGAGGATAACGGAGATTCCTTAATCACCTTGAATGTAGAAGCCCATAAAGCAGCCAAAAATTTTGCTCTGTCCCATTAATTGCCAAACAGTTGTTCTTTTTCTTCAAAGATTCTAGAGTTGCCTTCTATACAAACTACCCAAAAAAAAAAGCCAAACCACTGTTTTTCACATAACACCACCCAACTTTTGTGAGCTAAAATCAATAGGTTTATCTAAAGATAAAGGCAAGTTTGCTAAATGAATTAACAGTTATACCTACTAGCTGAAATGCATTGAGAGGTTAATGATGTCATGAGAAGGTATGCGTAAATGCAAGGAAGAGACATCCTCTCCCAATGAACTTATGCTGTTGTTCATCAGTCATCACTATTAGTACCATGTTGCTAGGAATCGTAATTGGAGAAATACAAAGTGAAAGTTCACATTCCTAACATAAGAAACACGTGGAGAGATAAATGTGCTTTCTTCAATGAATAATTGAATTTTTTATTTGGTCAGTCAGTAACAGGAAAAGACTAAATGCTCCAAAATCCATGTTACAAATCAAGTCGATTCAGCATGCACAAGCACAGAATAAGACTTAATCATAGAGTATTTACATTTCTTCCGTGCCAAAGAATTCAACGAAATATTTCTTGGGGTCAGGGGCTCTCTCCCAGTCTTCAGGTCTGCCAATCTGTAAATTTAAAATCCACAAAATTTAGACAAGAAAGCTTATGGAACTAGCAAAAAGTTTAAATCCAGAATCAGAAACCACGTGGTAAAACAACATAGCCCATCGATAAATCTGATTATTGCACAAACGTGTTGGCACAAAAATCTTATAACGAGTGATGAAAATGCAAATTAATATTCTAACAGCAATTATCGACTCACAGGTTATATTTAACTGTCAAAACTAGAGAATAGTATTGAATGGTGCGTCATTATGATGTTAGCAAGAGGGAAGTCACATGCCCTCACTTATACATGTAATAAATGAAAGCAACCTTGAAAAGAGATAGAACCATTCCTACGTAAAGACATGACGCAATACACACCACATATACATGCATATAATGGCCCGACATAACTAACTGATTCCAAATTAATCTGGTGCACAGATTTTCTGTTTTAACCCTAATTTTTATGCCTTCTTTTAACATTTTTCCAATTGATTGAGCAACGAACGACAATTCAAAAAAATACCAAATTCAAGTAAAAATTCATACAGGCAGCTAAAACAAACCCACGTTCAGAGAGAGAACTGTATAGACAAACTAGTATGAACTTTTGATCATTTTTTCGCAATGATTCAGACCCACTGCAGATACCTCCTATATAGTAAAAAAATTTACATTCTGCGGCTTGATTATAGATTTTCCTAAAATTCTGAAGGCGAATTATTCAGATATTAACAATTAAATATCACAAATTAAGCAAATAGAAGACGAGGTTAAATAAGGAAGCAATGCGACAGAGGAACCCAAATTTGAAAATATTTAGTGTTCCTAAAAACCACTCAATGGTACCTTAGCAGGCCAAGGAGGGTAGCCCTTGACCTTGGCAAGGACGAGATCGCCCAAACTCATCTCGCTCTTTGTCCCCACGCCTTTTGCTCCACGCTTCCGGCTTGGAGCCATTGCCTTCGTTCTCCAATTTCCTTTTTTTCTCTTTTTACGGATTCGTTATTCCAAATCAAAACAAAGAAAGGAAGAACCCTAAATTGAATTCCCCATAACGTTGTCGCTTTCGCGTTCTCTCCTCCGATTTCCTTGTTCTTTCTTCTACAGGTACCGATCACACCGAAAAGCGAGAGGAGAAATTGTATTGTTCTTACGCAGAGAGATTCAGGCGGTGGCTGACGAGAGATTTTGCAAGAGAGAAGCACAGTAAAACATGTAATTGAGAGGGAAAAAGCAAGTGGTGAAGGGTAAAATTGTACTTACGGACGAGTTACCCATGCTCCCAAATCAAAAGGGATAGATTTTTATAATTTTTTCTTGATAGATTAAGCTCCGTTTGATGCCCAGTACTTGAAAATGAAAATGAAGGAAATAGTAATTTTTAAAAAAATAAGTGGTTGAAAAAGATAGAAAAGTTTTCGATTTACATGTAATATTATTTTATGAAAAATTGTGTGATTGAAAATAGGAGAAAGAAAAATGAAATGTAATGTAATTTAATTTAATGGGGATCAAACAGGGGCTTATATTAATCTGAAATTGTCAGTTAAATATAGAGAAAAATGTAGTTTTATTAGTAATCTTTTCAAAAAAGTACCCGCTAAATTTATTTGTGATGTGTGCAAGCTACTAAGATCAAAACATAAAAAATAATATCATATCATTTTCTTCTCTACCCAGCTGCTATGGACACCTAATAACCATATTGAGTTGAGCCCCTTGTCATCGACATAGCAACACTACTACATGTAATTGACATAAATAAGAGCAAGGGTGACGTTCTCATATATGGCAAAGCTACTTATTTTATCTCTTTCATCGTCGATATCTATTCAATTGATCAGTTGAAATTCCAATATTTATCACACAGTATTTTTCAATGGTCATTTTACAATTGAAATTTTTTACATATTTCATCAATATATTAATTTTTGGTGAAAGCTACAAAAAAACTAGTGGTTTTGGGAATAGAGAGTGGTAGGTTAATTGAATGGACTTTTGGCCGGGGGTTGATGTTGGGTGAGCTTGGCTAGTATTGATGGCGAGGGGAATAATGGTGACAAGTGCAGGAGATTATGGAAAGAGAGGATGGCTAAGAGAAGATGTGTTTTTTTCATTTGTTTAGATTTTTTTAGGGAAAATTGCAATCAAGGTATCAAATTTTTCGTTTATTAGCTGACTTTGTCTAAACCTTTCATTTGTGACATCGTATATACCAATTTTTTACAAAATTCGCAGTTCAAATCCAAATTGATGGTTTATGTTAGTTTGACCCCGAAAACCATAAGTTAACCTCAAAAATTAAAAATCCAATAATTTTAACCAAGTAATAAGGCAATGGTAACATTGTAACCTTATAATTTTAATATAAAAAAATAAATAAAAATTATTTAAAAAGGAAAATAAAAAATCCAATCTCCTTTCTCAATCTCCCTCAATCTCCTTACCCCAAAATCAAAATCACCTCAGCCCAATTGTCGATCGTCAACACCACCGCGGTTGCCTCTCTCTGTCCACTTCCTTTGAACGATCGCCATAAAACTCCTCCAGCCCACCAATATCACTCCCCATTGTCCACACCTTAGTCACACCTAGCGTCGACTCCTCCTTCATCGACCTGTTATAAACAACCATCGGCAACATCCCAGCCCACTCTTTCCCTGAAAATCAAAATTTTTGGACTGCAGCAGATATGCTGGAACTTCCCATTGACAACCACAGGCATAGACGACAAATCAATATTCTCCGACGTGGGTTTTTCAAAATGGGGCCATGGCTTCTGTTCCTTGCCTCCGAAAACTAGAGATAACATTGACATTTCTGTTTGAAAATATGGATCATTGGAGCGGAGGGGTGATCCAAAACGAAGGTGGGAGTGGAAAAAGTCCACCTGACTCGTTGTTGACTCGGTGTTGGATATTGATATGTGGTTGTTGCTACTTGTCATAATTTTCTTGTTGTGATTACTCTGTTTCCCATTCTGTGAACTATTGCTCTGTTCTTTGAAATTGAAGAAGAGATGAATTGAAAGATGTGAAATGAGAATGAGAAGAAGAAATTTCTTAGAAGAAGGGTAGTAAAATTTCTCCGACAACTAGGTGGAGGTGGTTTTGATTTTGGGGTAAAGGGATTGGAAAGATTGAAGAGAAGATGGGATTTTTTATTTTCCTATTTAAATAAATTTTATTTATTTTTTATATTAAAATTATAGATTTAAAATTTTATCCTAGTCTTTTCTTGGTCAAAGTTATTAGATTTTTAATTTTTAAAGTCAAATAACGGTTTTTAGGGTCAAATTAACGAAAATCGTCAATCTGGACTTGAACTGCAAATTTTGTAAATGTTTGGTATCTACGGTGGCACAAATGAAATGTTTGAGCAAAGTCTACTAATAAACTAAAAGTTTAGTACCTTGATTGCAATTTTTGCATTCTTTTATTTATTATTACAAAACGATAAATTAAGTTATTTTAGTCTTTGCTCGAATTTTCAATTTTTAAGGTAAATTGGAGAGAAATAGCAAAATAGTACTAACGGTGCGATGAAACTGAAACTTTGAGGACGAAATGATCGTTTTGAAGATTAATGACCAAGTCTCTATAAACAGCCAAGGGGCGAATAACTAGTGCCACAAAATTTTCTTGAACTCATTGTCCCAATGCTATTTTACTCAATCACATGTCAATCCATTGTCAAATAATATTTAATTATCTGGTTAAGTTTGAAATTACTTTTCTTGCATCTCAAAAATGCACATTCTTTGTTCTTTGTTTCTTCACATATCAAATTTCGAAAGAAAAAAAGAAAAAGAAAAGAAAAGGAATTAAAATGAAGAAGACAATAGCACACAAACCATTAGCCAGTCTATTTTAAATGAGAACTTCAAAAAAGTGTGGTAATATTTTTCTTTTATTTTCCTAGGAGTACTATCATATACATACTTTGTCTAGATAGCATACTTGACAAGAGATAGACACGAGTGACAAAAAATTCTTTACTAGTACTGTTGTAACGCTCTAAAAAATTCGTGTTATTTTTAAAATTTTAAGTAAAAAATAAGGATAATTCAAGTTTAAATTTAAAACTTAAACGAAACAAATTGAAAGTTAAGACTTTTATTACAGGATTTAATTTTGAAATTAATAAGCACTGTTTGATAAGGATTAAAATCAAAATTTCAGTAGATTTTAATAGAATTTGATGTAATGTGGGTTGAAAAGTTATGAAATCCATAAAATATGTAGTTAAAATCAATTATTAATTTTGACTTAAATTAAAATTTAAATTTTAATCGGTATCTAGGGGAGGCAAAAAACTTGTTAAACCCAATACCCGCGGGGTTTCGTCCCAAACAAGATGATGATTACCAGCTTAATTGAGTATTCAGGTAGGGTTCGTGTTGGGGAATTTTGCCTCGATGCGAATATGAGTAACACTCGCCCTGACAATTTATTTATTTGGTTTCGTCCCAAACAAGACGATGATTACCGGCTTAATTGAGTATTCAAGTAGGGTTCGTGTCGAGGAATTTTGCCTCGAGGCGAATATGAGTAACACTCGCCTTTACAATTTATTTATTTATTTATTTTAAGAATGCAACACTTTAAATGAAAAATTCTATGAAATTTCATTAATTCTAATAGAATATAACAACTAAGATTATTTAAGAAAAATGATAAACAATGAAAATTTTAGTTTACCAAATATGTTTGAATAATTTAACTTTTAAAAAATAAATGAATTAATTAGAAATTTTAATAATTATATTATTATATTACTTTAGTGAATGTGAGCAATAAAATGAATTATCAAAAAATAAAAAACAAAAAGAGTTAGTAAACAAGGCTAGAAATTACCCCGCGGGGCAAGGATGAGGGAACCTGCCTCGTTGCTTTCCTTGTCGATATCAAATAGGAGCTAAGCCCCTATTTGATAGTAATTTTTTATTCAAAAAATCAATTTTTTACCGTCATTTCACTATTCTAATTGTCACTTTTGACTTTTTTACTCACAGGTGGGATCCACTTTCCTTTTTAGCGATCAAAAAATCAATTTTCATAATCACTACCAAATAGACCCTAAGTAAAAAAGATGAAGTAGGGACTGAACTTTAAAATTTGAAAAATGGGACCCTTTTTTGGTAAAGTAAGCAGCCGACTTGGCGGTCATCGCACAAAACTTCCATAGTTGACGTAGTGTTGCGACTCAAATTTTGTTGTGTAGCACGTTATGAGATCTTCAAGCTTGTATGTAAGTCGTGGATTAATATTGGAGGGACGACCCTAAAAAACGTGCATAAAGAGTTAATCCTGAAATTGAATCCGTACTTAAATTTTCATTCGACGGTATTTAATCGAACAGAAGTCTGACCTGCTAACAAGGAACCGAAAAAGTTCGCTACTTAAGGCACAGCCGGGAGTTTCCCCTTCGGGGATGCCTTGTCATCACATCAACGACTTCGTCCTTTGCTATACCGAGCTGTACCGAAATGTTTGAATAGCCTATACTTAAAAGCCATGTATGTAATATATCAAAAGCTTATATGGCACATGGTATATAATTTGGATATAATGACATGACTCAAAAGAGGATAATCATCTAATTTATTGTTTTTTTAAGCATGCCATTAAATCCGTATTATATAGAAAGGGAAAAAAATGCCAAACCAATTAATCAAATATGTTAATATATAAGCACGGAGAAAGTTATAAAAATAAACACTCTTACGATAAGTGACGTGGATATTTT